GATAGTGGGACCTGGAGAGGACAGGAGCTCCACAAGGAGAGCAACAGAACCAAAAAAATCTGGGCACAGGTGTCTTTTCTGAGACTAATTCTCCAACCAAGAACCATTCATGGATATAACTTAGAACCCCTGCTCAAAAGTAGCTCATGGCAGTTCAGTCTCCAAGTGGGTACCCCAGTAAGGGGAACATGAACTCAGTGGTGGGCTCCTTGACCACCACCCCTGAGGGAGGAGCAGCCTTGCCAGGCCACAGAGGAGGACAATGCAGCCAGTCCTGATGAGACCTGATAAACTAGGGTCAGATGTAAGGGGAGGAGGATCTCCACTATCAGTGGACTTGAAGAGGGGAATGGGAGGAGATGAGGGAGAGAGAGAGGGTGGGATTGGGAAGGAGAGAGGGAGGGAGGGAGGGGGCTACAGCTGGGATACAAAGTGAACAAACTGTAATTATTATAAAAAATAAAAATTTAATTAAAAAAAAGGAGTTCAGCAGGAGTGGGAGGCAGAAGAAAGGAAAACGGGGGGATTGAGATGACAAAATTGCGTTATAAACGTGTGAAATTGTCAAAGAATCAAACAAAAAGAAAAATGTGGATTGTTAATTAAAATGATAATAAAGTCAATTCATCATGGTACAAATATTGTAAAGGATAATGTGTATATATTATAAGCCTACTTATGCCATTTTATATAGGACTTTTTTTAAAACTATTTTTTAAAGATTTATTTATTGTATGTATATGAGTGTTCTAGCTGCATTTCCATCTGCCAGAAGAAGGAATCAGTTCACATTATAGATGGTTGTGAGCCACCATGTGGTCACCAGGAATTGAACTCATGACCTTTGGAAGAGCAAACAGTGCTCTTAACCACTGAGCCATCTCTCCAGCACAGGACTTTTTTTTTTTTTGAGAGAGAGGGTATTATATATTTCAGGCTGGCTTCAAATTGAACTACACAGCTGAGGATGACCCTCAACTTCTGGTCTTCTTGTTCCCAGGTCTCAAGTACTAGAATTAGTGGTGAATACCGCCAGGCCCCACTTACGAAGTGCTGGGGTTGGAACCCAGGACTTTTTGTGCATGCTGGGAAAACACTCTACTGAGCCACATCCTTATATAAGCTTCCATGATTTTCTTATCCATAGAGAATCCTGGAACCAATTTCCCGTGGATACCAAATAATGGCTGTACTTGTGAATCTTCTAGAGGACTCTAGAACCTATACTTTAAAGTATAGGTCCCCAAGACCTATGGCACCCATAGACTCATGTGTTTGAATGCTTGCCCATAGAGAGTGGCACTGTTAGGAAGTGTGGCCTTGTTGGAGGAAGTGTGTCACTGTGGGGGTGGGCTTTGAGGTCTCCTATGTCCAATGACAGTCTTCTGCTGTCTATGGATCCAGATGTAGAACTCTCAGCTCATTTTCTAGTACCATGTCTGCCTGCACATTACCATGCTCCTCACCATGACAATTATGGACTAAAATCTCAGAAACTATAAGCCAGCACCAACTAAATGCTTTTCTTTATAAAAGTTGCCTTGGTTACAGTGTCTCTTCACATCAATAAAACCCAAACTGATAGCTGGGTGCAGTGGTGCACACCTCTAATCCCAGCACTCTGGGAGAAACCCAAACTAAGACAGAGGCTCATTATAACTCCAGTTTCAGAGGATCTAATATCACATTCTGGTCTCTTCTGGCACTAGGCAAACACATGGTTCACATACACACATTCAGGCACTCATACCCACAAAATATGGATAATTTTAGAAAAATAATAGTAAAAATAAAATCTCAAACTACAAGCTTTTTTTTTTTTTTTTTTTGAGACAGGGCCTTGGCTGTCCAGGACCTCACCTTGAACTCACAGAGATCCACCTGCCTCTGCCTCCCAAGTGCTAGGATTAAAGGCATGTGCCACCACCAACTGGCCCGAAAGCATTTTAAAAGCCAGTGAGGCTATACCCAAATTAATTGGAAAAAGATGACCAAATTATACCAAAAAAAAAAAAATAAGCAAAAGAAAGGAAATTATCAAGAGTGGAAACTGACAAAATAGAAAATGGACAGATAATTCAGAAAAATTAATGAAATCTCCAAAACTGGTTATTTAAAATTCTCATTAAAATTGATAAGCCTTTATTCTAGGATGACTGAGAAAATAAGTAAGAGAAGGTACAATGGTGTACCAGAAGTCTCAGTTACTTCGGAGACTGGGTTAGGAGGACTGCTTATGCCCAGAAAAAGAAAAAGAAACATCAGCTAGGCGCAGTGGCACACGCCAGTAATCCCAGTACTCAAGAAGTCAGAGGCAGGTGGAACTTTCTGAACTTGAGGCTAGCCTGGTCTACAGAGTGAGTCCAGGACAGCCATAGCTATTACACTGCATCTCAGGAAAAAAAAATAAAATAAACAACAACAACAAAAAGAAACATTACTAGTACTTGGAATGACAGTTATCATAACAGAGCCTAAAGATGTTAAAAGGATGAGTTGGTATGATTTTCATTAAATAGGGGGGTGTATCAACTTAAATGAGATGTACAAATCACTTAAAAGAGGTTAAGTATACAAATGATCAACATTGACTAAAAAACACAACCTGAATGGCTAAATATCTAATTTAAATTTAAAGACATTGAATTTCTTTTTTTCCCTCCCCCCCCCCTTTTTTTCTTTTTTAAGTGGTTGTCATGGGTAGACCTGGCTTGTCTTGAACTCACAGAGATCCCACTACTTCTGCCACCAGGCTGGCCTTAACTAACACAGATATGCCTGCCTCTTCTTCCTAAATGCTAGGATTAATGATATGTACCACCACTCCCACTAACACTGAACTAATTAATTAATTCAAGACAGGGTTTCTCTGTGTAGCCTTGGATGTCCTGAACTCTGTAGAACATGCTGGTCTCAAACTCAAAGAGATCTGCCTGCCTCTGTTTCCATAATTGCTGGCATTACAGGTGTGCTGCCACCATGCCCAGCTATGACATTGAATTTAATTAAAACTTTCTGAGGTAGGTGTTAAGAGCTTCCTGGTAGAGCTCATTAAGTCCTTGGCTCCAGCACAGCAAAAATTCAAAATCACAATCCCAAAATAAACCCAACCACCAAAGCAACCAACCAACCAACCAACGAAACAAAACAATTAAACAACAACGAAACATACCTTAGGGAGCTGGAGAGATGGCTCAGTAATTAAGGCACTGACTGCTCTTCCAGGGGACCCAGGCTAAAATCCCAGCACCCACAGCACAGCTCACAATTAACTGTAACTCTAAGATCTGACACTCTCACATAGACATACATGCAAGCAAAACACCAATACACATAGAATAAAGGCAAATAAACTTTAAAAAAATGTGCCCTAGCTAAGTGTGGTGGCACAAGTTTCGATCCTAAAACTTGTGAAGTACAGGCAGACAGATCTTTGTGAATTTAAAGCCAGCCTGGTCTACAGAGTGAGTCCAGGACAGCCAAGGTTGCACAGAGAACCCCTGTCTCGAAAAAGCAAAACAAAACAGTACCTAAAGTGAATCAAAATGAAAGAACATTCTAGGTCCAAATGGCTTTCCTAGTTGAACCCATGAAATATATTTTTTAAAAAAATCAAGTATGTCTAAATTGTTTAACAAAATGTCAGACTTGTTGCAGGATATTTGATTATTGCACATAGAAAATGTAACTGACAGCAAAATACCAAAGTCTAAAGAGATCTTTTGTTTGCCAGATGCATTTAGGTGTGCCCTAAAGAGATGCAGTTTGGGTGTGCCTCCTTAAAAGCCTTCACAGAAAATAATGCTAAAGAATGGAAAGTTCCTGCCTATTTTTAAGGCAAGTTGCTTGGGAGAGGTCTTTGCCCTATGACTTGAGGCAAAGTCAGCTAGGTGGCTTTGAGTTGCCCCACAGTAAAGGTGAAATGGTTTGGTTCCTACTGACTTGGCTTGGTGTCCCCCCACCCCCCAACCATGTCAGTGACATGGTTCAACCTGCCAAGGGTATAGGACAGGTTTTCTCTCTGGGCTTTAGGGAACAACAGAGAAGCAGCTGGCAGGACACAGGTGGCACAGATTTCTACAAAAGAGAGCTAAGGAGCTGTCTTGGGTTTGGAGGCGCTCAAGAGAAAGGCAGACATGAACAGAATGAAGGAAGAAAATTCCATCTGTTTATCTCAGAAGCATCATTTGCAATATTCTGCAAAGCTTCTTCCAATTTTTAGAAGAAAAATTCTCAGGTAGGTAGAGTAAGTTTATAAAACACATTTATGGCAATCTTCACAGCTAATGTCACATTTAGTGGTCAGACAATATCTACAATGGAGAATGACAAGGGTGTTTATTTCTACCACTTTCTTTTTTTTTTAATAGAGCGAACAGATTTGTTAAAGAAAGGTGAGAAAGAACTCCTGAGAGTGGGAGTTCCCCACTTATAGGCTCTAGTCAGTGTAATAAATAAAGAAAAATAATAAAAAAGGCAGTCGGGCAAGGTGGACGGATCTCTGGAGATTGAGGCCAGTCTAATCTACATATCGATATTAAGGACAGTCAGGGTTACATAGTGAGATCTTGTCTAAAAAGTACACACACACACACAGTCACACATATATGTTGGCAAAGAAGTAAAATTGTCTTTATTTTCAGATGGGATGATTGTATATACACTATCCCAGAATAATCACCCCCAAAATAAGTGCATTTAATAAGTTCACAGAATAAATATCAGAGTTAGAAGTTAATTATATTACTATGTAAGATTGACAAATAATTAGGACATGAAGGTTTCATTTCTAATAGCATAAATACCCATTGAAACTATAAGAAAAAACTTAAAGGCATGTGAAAGCAAGGGTAGCAGCACTGAGGATCTATCCTCAGTCTGGGTGTGACAAGAGAAAAGAACAGATGCTAGGGGTCTGAGTTGTGGGTGGACACTCAAGAACCTGGAGATGTAGAGCTTTAGGAAAAAAAAAAAGTTTTTATCGTAACAAATTCCACAAGTTTAACCTGATGGTGAAATGTATGCTTTTATTACTCAAGAACAAATTGGATGTCATCAGTTCTTCACAGGGGCATGTAGTGTGACTCGTGACTCACACACAGAATCACTGTAAGCCTGGGTTGTAACCCTGGGTTACTTTTGAAGATATTTGGTTACACAAAAACTTGTTTCTTAAAATGGAACATTCTTCCCTCTTCAAATACTTTTCTTTGCTCTCAGTTTCTGCTTTCTTGGGGCTTCTTGCTGTCTTGGTACCACAAAGCTGGTCTTTCCTGAACCTTTCTACCACAACCAGTACTGTGGTCTAACAGTTAACTTGGGGCATCCACAGCCCACCTGCAGGGTATAGGAACAGCTTGCCTAGCAGGCAGTCACATGAAACTAGCTCACAGGTATCTGGCAAGGCCTACACATACCCATGCAAGATGAAAGAGGGGTCCTATTGGACTCTTGGGAGAGTTTTAGAGTGTTCACTTCTAGCTAATGGACTAATATGTAAGACACTCCTTTTTGGGGGGACAGTTTACAAGCACAATAGCTACTTTCACTTGGGACTCTAGGGAAGTTCAAAGGATGGAGTAATAGTTATGACAAGCCTGGCCTGTGGATACCTTGTTTAGTTCCCACCATGCAAACAGCCCCACTTGCTTCCACTGGGCCTGTGTAGCTAGGAGTCTTCTCTCATGTACTACCCAACAACCCCTTAGGCCATCTGCTTGCCTTGTTCCCAAATACTGGCCTGAAATGGCCTGCCATATCAGCTTTTATCAGGTTCTTTGGCCGGCCCTGTCTGTATTCAACACCCTCAGAACAAAAGGGTCCACCACCCTCTCTCCTTTGCCAGGGTGGGCCGCCACACCTGATGCCTTTCGACTACTAAGGAGGTTGCACATCATGAGAACTTCCAAACATGAGAACTTTGACATCTGAGTCTGAGAGATTTGCCTGGGTGAACAAATCAGCTCTGAAATTCGTCACTTTCTTCAGGCCCCTGCCTGTTTTCATGTTCTAAATCCAAGCCTATGGAAGAGAAAATACCACTTAGCAAGTTGGGGACAACGTCTTGTCTTCCAAATGCCCTGGTTTGAACCATGACCCCAGAATTTATAGGGCACCCTCCCTCCGCAGCTGAGGACTGAACCCCAAGGCCTTGCATTTACTCTACCACTGGGCTAAGTCCCCACCTCACCCAGTATGTTTTTTGAAGACAGGGTTTCTCTGTGTAGGTTGTAGACTGGCTGTCCTGGAACTTCCTCTGTAGACCAGGCTGACCTCAAACTCAGAGATCTACCTGCCTCTGCTTCCCAGAGTGCTGGGACTACGGGCCTGTGCCACCACCATCCAGCTCAGAGCACTCTTTGGAACTAAGGTTTTTTTTTTTTTTTTTTTTTTTGGTAGTTAGGTTTTTGAAAATAAGATTTTTATTTTTATATGTGTGTCTGAATGGGTTTTATATGCACCATCTATACACAGGTGTCTGTGGAGGGCAGAAGAGGGACTCAGATCCTCTGGGACTGGAGTTACAAGTGGTTGTGAATTACCTAATAGGGATCCTGGAAACTGAACCTAGGTCATCTGCAAATCTGCAAAAGCAGTTTATGCCTTTATCCACTGAGCAATTTCTCCAGCCCACTAGCTTTTTTTTGTTTTGTTTTTTTCTTTTTTTTATAAAATTTTTTTAAGATTATTATTTATTATGTATAAAATGTTGTTTGCATGTACACCTGCACGCCAGAAGAGGGCACCATATTTAATATTTAATTATAGATGGTTGTGAGCCACCATGTGGTTGCTGGGAATTGAACTCATGACCTCTGGAAGAGCAGCCAGTGCTCTTAACCTCTGTGCCATCTCTCCAGCCCATGTGCCCATGATTTTTTTTTTTCAAGACAGGGTTTCTCTGTGTACCTTTACCTACCCTGGGACTAGCTCTGTAGATTAAGCTGGCCTCAAACTCACAGCAACCCACCTACATCTGCCTCCCTGAAGGCTGGGATTGCAGGTGTGTGTATGCCATTGTGCCTGGCTGGCTAGTTTGTTTTTTTGAGACAGGGTCAGGGTCTCAGGTAGCTTAGCCTGAAACTGTCTATGTGGCCAAGAATGACCTTTACAGACACACTTATCCCCAGATAAGGCTTTTTTTTTTTTTTTTTTTTTCTTAAATAGCAGCTTTTCAAATAGTACCTGGAATAGAAAATTCCTGTTGGGACTTCACATTTTCTGGAAGCGGAGGAGAATGGTACTCACAGATGAAGGGAAGGTACTATTGGTGGGGAGTAAGGGATTGAGCCAGGCATCTCCTCACAGATGTTGAACAAAAGCTGGGTTGCCAACAATGACAGGGAGTGGCCTGCCTGTTCCACATTCTTGGTGAGTGGGCATCTTAATTGTGCAGCCAGAAGAAATGCTCTATTTAGGGTTGGCACCCTCGTGTTTATGCCTGTGTACCCTGGAGCTGCAGAGTATGAGCTTGTGCACCTGTGTGTATGACAGTGGTAGGAGGCTCTTCTGGGGGCCCAGTCTTTAGGAAGCTGAGCTGGAGGTATCCCCAGGTACCTGGGAAAAAGCCTGATGACAGCAGTTGCAGGCTATCCAAGACCCCCTCCTCATATAGGGCCAGCTTCTGTATCATCTTCTGTCGGGCTGGGTTGATGATGATCTGTGGTGGCTCTGATGGCAGCGATGTGGAGCTGCCCATGGATGAGCCTGGGAAGACACAGTAACTGCTAAGTGACACTCGGGCCTCCACAGTCTTCCCAGACCTCACTGCCCATGACACTGGCCACATGGCAGGATTCCCAGTGAACTAAGGCTGAAGCTGGGAGAAGTCATACAACAGACCAGGCTCCTAGACTGCTAGGACAGAGCCTAATACACTTTTGACTTCAGGCATGGGGTGGGGAGAAGGGCTAAGAAGGGAGCTCCTACTACTTCTTACTCATGTCGGGAGCAGGGCCCCCACAGTGAAGGGAAGTAAAACAGTACCAAGTCATGCTCTGTGGCTTTTTCCATAGCCCTGAGCTAAGGACACAGTGGTCCAAACATTTGGTCCTGGATCCCTCTGCTCAGAAGACATGGGTGGGGAAGAAAGTGACTATTATTAAAGGAGAGCCTTGTCCCTCCTGTGGATACATATCCCCAGAGTTACCTTCCACAGTTGTGGGCTGAATGCCTGGATCACTCCTCAAACATGATTCTCTGGTAGTGCCCTCTTGGGTACAGCTAGCCTCTCTGAAGGATGGTGGGCTTGGGCAGGAACCTGGAGTCAAGTGCCAGGAGTGCAGGGCAGCAGAGAGGCAGGGAACACTCTCATCACTCTCCACTGGCTGGTTGGGAGTTTTCTGGAGCTGGGCTGGGGATCTTCTGCTCACTACTACATGCTGCCATGGTTCACCCCCACTCTGGGCACTGCCAGTGGTAGACATGTAGGAGTTCTCCTGTGGGGAAGGGGGGCCATGGCCGGCAACCTCTGGCTCCCAAGGAGGCCCTGCCTGCAGCCCCTCTAGACTCTTGTATACCTGTGTGGAGAGAGGCTCTCAGGATGGGCAGAGCTGGGGATCCTCGCTGGGCAGGGCAGCCCTGACCTGACAGCCTGTGGTTCAACCACACAGCTGCTCCAGGTTGGCCTAGACTTGCCTGTGTTCAGGTTGCTACTACAGGCCCCATATAGCCTTAGTAATGCCAGGAAACACCAAGCAGCTGGGAAAACATTGTCCTTTTTCCTTTGTCTCATCATAAGGATTATTGAGATTCATGGCCACCAAAGCCAAGGACTCTATTCTCAACTATCAATTAGAGGTGGAAGGTAAAAGTAAAAGAATAAAGGTAGTACCCACTATAGGGTGTGATCAGAGCCCTTTCCTTCTACTTGTTACTGGGATCTGGCCCCACCCAGCAAAGCAGCAGCCCTTTACCACTTGGTCTGCAGAGCACCTCCCCAAATAGAGCCAAAGGGCAAGCAAGGAGTGTTGGGAGTTTTGCCTCTGTAAAGAGATCAAGTAAGCATTTTGTAGCTTTTGCTGTCTAGCAGAGCAAGAATGCAAGGTTTCTCACTGGCCACTATGTCTCCATTTGTAGCTGGCTTCCCCAGGGCTACCTGGGTCATGGGGGGCCTCTTCTTGGCCCGACGGTGCATGCAGCAACAAGCCAGTTGAGCTAGGGCCAGGCCCAATCGGGGTGGGCAGGGCCCAGGTCTGGAGTCCAGGTGCTTCTTATAGATGTGGGCAGCAATTGGAGCAGCCCAAGCATCCATGGCCATACCCAACTGCAGAGTAGGCTGGGTGCTTTTCAGGGCCACACCGGCCTCTTCAGCCTCATCTTCAATCAGGTCTTTCTGTAGGACAAATACTGTGAGAATGGCTCTGCTAAATCTTCCAGGCCACTGCCACTCAGTCCTATGGTCTTTCTTTCACTGGGTTCATTAAAACACTGTGTGCCCAATGCTGTCTGGGACTCTACTGATAACAGCCACAAACCAAACACTCTGGGCCTTGTTTTACAGTCCTGATATTCCATTGCAGTGGGGAAAATAGATGCCAACAAACCTATTAGTCTGTTAGCAAGGGCCATGGGGCCTGAGCAAGTGCCCCATGTTAGCAAGTGGCACTTGAGCTGGGATGTGCTAATGGATGCAGAAGGTTAAAGGAAGAAGGGATAGGTAGAGTATGGTTCAGTTTGTTCTACCATCCAGGAGAAGCAATGGGAGATGTACAAATCTGTAAGAGGTGAAGACCTAGCATTATCAAAGCATCTTCTGGGTCTAGGAATTGCTGGAATAGTGCTCATGTGTTAAAAGTCTGTTTTCTATATGGGAAACTGAGGCTCAATGAAGGGCAGGAATGTGATCCGTGGCCACTGTTAAGATGGGACTAAAACCCAGTTTTTTTTTGTTTTTGTTTTTGTCTCTGTGTGTTTGTCTGAGATGGGGTACCAATGTAAGTCAGGTTGACTTTGAGTTTACCAGGTTTTATTTTGTTTTTTGTTTTGTTTTGTTTTTGACAGAGGGTCTTGGTATGTAGCCCCAGATGGTCTACAGCAATCTTCCTGCCTCAGACTCTTGTTGGGGCCAAAAGCATGTGTTCACATGCTAAGCTTTAGGTCTCTTATTTTTTAGTCCCATCTCAGTGCACAAGAAACACAGGCATGCAGGGGTACAGGTCAGGATGGTTTGGAATTGCCCCTATAACAGCCTGCCTGTCTATCCTTGGCCCTGTCTTCTCTAAGTTTCACTGGACCCAGGGTGTCAGGAATATCCCTCTCACTGTCCCCAGCCCAAGGCAGAGAGGGACCTGTGAAGGTTCTTTTTTCCCCTTTGATGGAACCCAGGGCCTTGCACATAAGGTAATTACGCTGCCACTGGATGTAACATCCCTGACCCCAAGGCTTATGTACACAATAAAGACAGGTTCTTCTTTGAAAGGTAAAACCACTTGGGGACTCACCCACTTCCAAACAGGAGTCAACAGCAACAGTGGCAGGCTACTATGGGATACTGCAAAAGATTCCACCCTCTACGGCTGTACTTTCTGGTTGCAGCTGCCCCTTCCTCCCTCCATGCCCTACCTTAGAAGGCTCACCAGATACTTGGTCCTGGTACCTTGTGTCCTCACAGCCCTCTGACCAGCAAGGGTTTCCAATATCACCTAGAGAGGGTGGGATAGAGAGCATCACTCTAGGTCTTAGCAGGGAGAAATTATGTAGAAAAGAGGCCTGCAGCATGGGGATGGATCAGCACTGATGGGACAGCAGCCCTGGGACAGGCAGGTAAAAACCACCTCCCAGTAAGGACAGCATTATGTTATATGACTGAAACTTAACCAATTCAGAGTGGCTACATGAAGCAAAAAAGTTGCAAAATTACAAACATGATTTAGTGCAAGGGAAGAGGGGAGGTGTATGAGGCCGGGTGCGCCCTGAGGCCAAAGGTATGCTAGCTTCTCACTAGGTTTGCCTCTGATCTAAGCCTAGAATTTTCTAGGCTTTCCTGCCTTACTTATTAGTGGTCCCCCCACCCCCTTAGCCAACAGAAGGGCTGGTGGCTTACCACTCCAAAGCTGAAGGTATCGGTGTCCACAGCTAACCGACCTGTCTTGATGTATTCCTCAGGCAGGTAGGCAAGGGTACCCCGTACTGTGCAAGTCCGGGCCACAGAACTGCTCTGGCTTGGGTTGGTCCCTGCAAGGCGGCTGAAACGAGCCAGGCCAAAGTCTCCCAGCTTGGGCATCAGCCTTTCATCCAGAAGCACATTAGAACTTGGAGAAGGAAGAATGGCACCAGTTCAGGCTGGTCCTAGCGTTTTTCCATCCTCCACACCTAAGTGTTCCTGATAAGCTGGCACACTGCTTATGGAAAGTAGCTGGCACTGAATCCCCGCTGTCCGAGGGTCAGCTGTCCCAGGGCCCCTTCACATAGTTTGGCTTTTGCTCACCACTGGGGCCTATCACCAGCTTCAATTCCATACCTGCACCATGCAGGGATGCTCAGAGTCCTAAGTACTCTCAAGTCTGAGGTCCCATCCCCATATTCACAGGACTGGGCAGGAGGAATCTCACAGGGACACTCAGAACATGGCTGCTCTACAGCTCTTCTGAGTCCCTCCTCACCTCTTGATGTCTCCATGGATGAGGCTGGGGCTGTCCTGATGTAAAAACTGAATAGCCCGGGCTGTGCCCAGAAGAATGTCCAGTCGTTGAGGCCAAGAGAGTGGGGAGCAGGTCTGGGTTTGGAGAGGCAAAGATGGAAGCACAGGGGCAGCTGTTCTTTGACCTCCAACCTCCCCTCACCTGTCACTCTGTGGCTTAGAGCAAGCTAGCTACTTTACTTTCTGAGCCTCAATTTCTGTTTCTGGAAAATGAGGAGCAGGACTGTCCATGATCTGATTCATGAGGAAGTGGTAACTAAAGCTATTCTAAAGGTTTTGGCAAGCACTCTATAGCTGGGATAATTGCAAGGGAACATTTCTCAGGACTCAAGACAGAATGTGATGGGCTCGGGTTTACCTGACTACACAGAAAGTGCTGATGCCCTTCTCCCTCCCCTCCCCCAAAACAGCTTGAGAGGGAAGCTCTTATCTTGTATATGTAGTGGCTTGTGAGTATGACTCTCAGGCATGGCTTAATCTTGGGTTCAGTTGTACAGCCTGTCTCCAGTGGTCCCCATTCCTCAAGAGTTACGTGGTCTAAATCCTTTATCTACTCTGCTTGCAAAGGCAATAACCCCCCTTCTTTAGAGGAATGGCCTGGGGCCAGAGGTATATGCCTATAATTCTAGCACAGAGCAGGCCGAGGCAGGAGAATTGCCAGTTTGAGGCCAGCCTGGGTAGTGAGGCATTGCCTCAAAGAAGCAAATAAAAAGGGAGTTTGAGGAACCAGGAGCCCAAGTCCTGCCTGACACAGGCTAAGGGGTGATGCCATTAAAGGTTCCAGACTAGGTGGGACTACCTGAAGGTGCAGTCGATCCTCCAAGGACCCATTGGGCAGGAAGCCATAAACAAGGCAGTAGAAGCCACTCTCTGCACAGTAGCCAGCAAAGTCCACGATATTTGGGTGATGAAACCTGTTACAAAGAGTGGACTCTGAGTTCTAAAGTTCTCTGAGCTCCACTACCTTTTATCAAGCTGGGTGGGCAGCCATTGATGTACCCTCACCTGGGCCTGGCAAGGCCTGGAGGGCACAAGGGAGCCAGGGCTTGTGTTGTGCAGTCTTAAAGATTGACAAGGCCCCGGTATGGCTCTCTTTGTGCCCCTAGACAGGAGGGACTCCCAAAACTCACCTTGACAGCTGTTCCACCTCAGTTAAGAAGCTCTGTTTCACCACAGTCCACTCTAGATCAGCCTCCTGCAGCCCCAGACATGGTGGGGGAAGAGGCAGGGAAAGTAGGCAGCATGAGCCAAGCTTGCCAGCTGTTTCCAGGCCCTTAACAATGGTAGGCTTGGGATCCTTGAACTGGAATCAGAGGACTGAAGGAATTGCTTGGGGAGGTGGGAGTCAGGTGACTGCAGAAGTCAGGGCTGATGGAGGGAGGAACCGGACAAACAAGGACTGATGGATTGTTTTCCAGGTGGCTACCCACCCTGTTACACCTACCTCCTTCAGTCTCTTCACAGCATATGTGGTATTTCTCATTACTGCTCGGTACACACACCCAAAACCACCCTCTCCAATCCTGAGCTCTTCAGAGAAGTTGCAGGTGCCTTGGGAAATCTCACAGAGGGGCCAGCAAAATGGGGAGGGATGGACTCTTTGGAGCTCAGACACTGGGCTCTCTGGGCTTGGCTGCTGGAAGAGATCACAGAGTAGGTGAGGATCCTGTGTATTCTCCTTGGTCCAGGCTGATAGCTCCCCTCAACGCTGGTTGTCTCTCACATAACCTGGCTGGGCTGATTTGGGCTCTGTGATAGACCAAAAGCTAAGTTTCTTTCTCCTTGCCTGGAAATTTCCCTGGGGCTTAAGGCACACCTACCTTGGTAGAAGAAGGGACTGAAGATTGCAGTGGTGGCCCGAAGGAAGCAGGGCTTGGAATGGGGAGCTCTGATTTGGAATGGGTCTTGGAGCCTGGAAAAGCTTTATAAAGATGGCAGTGAGAGGCAGACAGACCAGCAGTATTCTACAGCCATGTCAACAGTCACGGTGGCCTTTTCCTCTGGCCTATCAAGCCCAACACCCAGGCTCTTTTTACCTGGGGAGAGGAAGGTGGAGGCAGAGGACTGTAATTTCCGGGGACTCCAGTCCTCAGCCTCGGAGACTGGAGAGATGCTCCTGGGCCTTGGAGCAGCGGTGCTTGGGGGCTGAACTGGGGCAGGGGGGTGCCCTAGGACAAGGAAGGAAAGGAGGGTTGTGACTCAGGTCTGTCCATCTCTATCTGTTTGTGTGTGTCCCGTATGGTCCCCTATCTCAGAGGCTCTGTACTGGTCACCTCTCTCGGGTTCCCATCCCTAGGTCCCTGGGGCTACACTTGCTCACAGGCTGTAATGATGTCCCGAGCTCGCAGCAGCTGCAGGTGCGTGAGGATGTGAACGAGGTCAGCCACTCGTGCGTTGCGGTTGATCCAGGGCCACAGGACGCTGGCCGTGCGCTGCTCCGAGCGCTCGCACAGCCGCAGCTCTGTCTGATCGCGCACGATCAAGGCCGCTGTGGGATGGAGAATGTCAAGCTTCAGGTCTAGAAGCCCCGGTCACCCGCCCCACGCCGGCCTGCCGTCACCCACCAAACTGGCACCAGTCGGCGGGCTCCAAGGCGTCCATCACTTTGTAGAAACGGCACATAACCCAGGGTGGCACCTCGTACAAGAAGTGCTGGGCGCCCGGAACTGCAGGCTCCCCGGGCCCCAGACCCCCGGCCATGGCCGCCGCCGCCGGACCGAGGCCTCTTGGGGCCTCGGCGAGCGCGGGCCTTAGCCGGCCGGGTCCGCAGACACTGACTCACTTCCCCTTCAACCCTGCCTCGTGCGACGCCCGGCAGGGCGGAAGAGGCGGCGCTCGGGCCTGACGCCATCTTGCCCTCCGCGGCCTTCGGCCACACGGGGGCGTCCCGTGCCGCCCACGACCCAGGGAAGGAGCTCTGCTAGGCAGGAGGGCATCCGTCATGGGAGAACAGAGGACAGAGAACAGAGGATCCTACACGGAGCGTGGTCTTCCAGCAAAGGAAACCATCTAAATAGAGCTGAGCAGGATGAAGACAAAGGGCATAGGAAAAACAATGCTCTATAAAGGCAGTTTATGCCAAGTCTGGTTAAAGCCACAGAGAGGCTCCCTTTGGCCGTATTTGTAGTGCACTGGAGCCAGCCGAATTGTTGCTAGGACAAGGTCAAATGTGGGCCACAAAGTGGCCCTCTGGTTGACTCTAGTCATCTGATGGTAAGGATGGATACCCAGAGAAGGGCCTGGAAGATTGTACAACACATAGCTGTGTGTGCTAGATCCCCATGCCTCACCCCTGCCTCCAGGAACCTGCCAGCAGCTGGGCCAGCAAGTGTAGATCTTCACAGAATCTGCCTGTGCAGGATCCTCACTAGCTTGCCAACCCACACATTTATGTCTCTTAACAGGCCTTGCTCTGTCATCATATGCATCATATTCAGCTCTTGCTGTCCCTTTCCTTTTTCTGTCACACTTTTAGTTTACACTTCTCCCCACGAGGACGCTAGGGTCTAGCAGCTTCTCCTAACCTTCACTAGAGCAGTTGTCAGTGACACCACCTATTGTGACCTCTTAGCCACATGAGTGTCTCTTGCCCACTCATCTAATGTTCTCCATTCACGGGTTTCTTTGGCTTTTTGGGCTCTCAATGAGCCACATCTCAGTGCATGCTACTTGCTCACTATACTCTCTAAAGTCCTCTTCCCATGAGCTCACTACTCTTAGCATCAGCCATTACCACTTACCTGCATGAACTTTATGGCTCTGATAAGGCTTACCGCTCAGGTGGTTTTCCTCAGGCACAAATCACCAAATCACTTTCTTAAGGAAGACCTTCTTCAAGTTCCCAAAGCTTTCCCATTGAGTCCCAGCTCTTTACAGATGTTTGGAAGATGGCATAGCCAGCCTCTACCCACTCACCTGAACTTGAAGCCATAAAGAACTCTTCAGATGTTGGGCTTGGTGGTGCACCCCTTTAATTCCAGCACTCAGGAAACAAAGGCAAGTGGATCTTTGAATTTGAGGTTAGTCTGGTCTAAATAGTGAGTTCCAGGTCAGCTAGGAATACAAAGTGAGACCCTGCCACAAAAAGACCAAGACCAAACCCAGGAAAAAAAAAACAAAAAAAAACCCAAAACAAACCTCCTTAGTTACTTCTCATTTTGCTTTGACGTTGAGTTTGCACATACCCCTGCTGTTGCCCTTCCCAACAAGACAGCATAAACAGGTGCGTGGAAAGCTTCCTTAAATCGCACCTAATTCTTTTCTTGGACACATCTTGAGCTTGCTGGAGTTCCGTCCCTCTAAACTTTTCTAATGTCCCACTGCCCAAGGAAGAGCCACAGGCAGTAATCTGGCCTTCCTTACTTCTTTATTTCTCCAGCTGAAGAGCATGCAACAACTTTCTTCTGACCACAGTTTCCCCAACAGACCATTTTGTCATACCAATCCTAACTGGAAAGGTTTCCCTTTTATTAGCCTGTCCTCCTAAGGAACTAGTAGTATGTTTCCAGAAAGGTCTTCCCAAGGCCCATGGCTGGCTCCTACTGGGGCCTCATATCTGAAGCCACAGTTATTGTGGCCACTTGAAATATGAGTTCAAACTAGGGGTGGTGTGTTGCATGCCTATAATCCCAGCACTCCAGTGGCAGACGCAGGAAGATCAGTAAAAGTTCAAGGCTAGCTTGGTCCAGCCAGAGCTACACACTGAGACCTTATCATACATAAAACGAAGCTTGGCATGGGGCTCATACCTGTAATTCTAGCACTTGGGAGACTGAATCAGATCGCCCTACACACTCAGTTCCTGGAGTAGAAGTCAGAACCTACCTAAAAGCAAAACAACCCCACAGGTCAAACCACTGAGCTTCCAGTGGGTTCTCATAGGTCAGTTTTTACCAAGATGTGCCAACTCCAGCATCCAAAATTATTGTTTGCATATATGCTAAACTCTATGGGCAAGGATTTGGTCCCTTTTATGTACTGGGGACTATCAGTATCTGGCACAAACCTGGTACACAGTAGATGCTCCATGTTACTGGTTGAATCTTCAACCCTTTCATTTAACATTTGAAGCCAGGACTTCAAGGCAGCTTCTAATAGGTATGCCCATAATTACATGTGACACACCATTATCCTCTCAAGCCCAGATCAGCCTAAGGAGGACAGATGTACCGAGTGGGTGGGTGCAGAAGGCTCATATTCTTACAGGAAGCCAGTGACACAAGGGCTCCCTTTGGGCAGTTCCTCAGCATGCCCTAGTTTGGTCAGGAAGGCACATTAGCCACTCACAGAAGTCATGCAGAAGGTCTTAGGTGCTATGGGTCACAGGGGACAGAGTTGGGGAGAAAGGTATTAAAAAACACCAGGGTACACCAGGACCTCGTAGCTACCCCTGCTACACTGGTCAGGAGAGGGACATCTGTCTTAGGCCTTCCTGTCACATGCTGGTGCAATGTGCCTGAAAAGCACACTGAGCACACTGAGAATACCAGGGAGGCCAGTATATGAGACAGGCTTCCCTTTCCTCCTACACCAGTCATGAGAGAGGCTACTGGGATTCAGGGACAGCTGGATCAAACACACCGTGCTGTCAAATGAACTGGAGGGGTATTGCTGACTTATAATGAAAGCCCAGACCTTGAGTCACTTTCACAGAGAGATTTATCGAGAATGCTAACAGCACAGGATACAGTACTTCCCAACAAAAGGTGCAAACGCATCACTTAGAAAGGCATGCTGAGTATTCTTTGCTTTCACATGTATTAAAAAACTTACAAAAATAAAATGAAACCGCGTGCTGCCCATCTTTTCAAATAGTAAAAGAACCTTATGAAAAACCACTTGATTTTACAACAAAAGACACAAACGGACATTTTTATGTAAATTTATAAGGCAAACTCTTTATATAATAAATAGGTTACAGGGGTTCAGTGGGGTGTGTTTTTGAAACGTATACAGGTACATTCAGACAGGTTTACTGAAATGGTACAAATTTCCTTAATAAATTGCCTTTTGTTTTTAAATATATCAGTGCTTTCAGTCATTTGGCTATACACAAAGAACCTTGTTTTGAACACTACAAAAAAAGCAATCAATATTTTGTTTTTAAAACGACCTACTTATTTTCTAAAGTAATTGTCCCAAAACACAAAAACTGAAGGTGAATGCGACAGAGGGCTTTTCAAGACCCCTCCAGCTATGTCTGTCATGGATATCTCTTTCTGTCCTGTGTGCCTGCTCCCAACCTCAGATGGGCTTTTGAGCTGGTGCCAAATACAGGGTAGCCCGTCAACTGCCTGCACTGCCCTACAGATCTTGCCCTTCAGGCTGGCAGAGTGGAGCACAACATGGATCTAGGAGGGGCATGCACCCTGTCTTGTTCTTCCAGCTACCACTTGGCCAACTGGTCACTACAGGCAGCACTTTCCTCACATGAGGCTCCAAGGTCTGTTCCTCTTACATGAGCCTGGAACAATCTGTAATGAGGATAACACTTACTGAAGATGTTTGCCATAGAAAGAGAAGGTAGTAGCTCACGCCCAGATTTTGTTGGGAATCAGATGACATCAAAGGATAGAACTCTCGGCCATCATTTTATTCCCCAGGCATGGTGGGGAGATATCAGATTAGTACTATGCACTAGAGGATAGCATGGAGTGTGACACAAGTGTCCTGACTGGTCATGTCCTTGAAATGTGCCTTGGAGAAAATAACACCCATGGCCTTGGTTTATCTAGTAAGAGCTATCTCAGGCAGGGAGTAGCTAATTCATTTTCTGTCTCCTCCCTAACCTGTGTCCACAGTGGGGCATCCGCCTGCAGGCTCAGGCCCAGCCTTTCCCTACTCAGTAAACTAATCTCTTATCTCACATCCCCTCCCCTCCTGGCACTCCTTGAAGGAACTGACCGTTTCTTTCTTCCTTCTTTTTTTTTTTTTCTTTCTTTCTAGTAACAATAGTAGTAATAATCTGGGAAGGGAAAGCAAAAGAATACACTGGGTGGAAAAGCTGGTTTTGCTCTGACTTTGAAAATGGCAACACATCAGCTTCAGTCTCTTGACTTGGAATGGGAATCCAGTGCTTAACTTCTGGGTGGCTTCTGGTTGATCTGAGCAGGGGTCATCTCTTCCAGACTGCCCCTCTTGTCTTAATCACCACTCCCCTCCCTTCAAATGCTTTGTTTGTAATGAAAAAGTGTCCAGAAGCATTTGTCTCTGGAACAATTACTTTAAACATAGTTACAATACAGACTTCAGTTCAAACACAGAAGAGATTTACTTAGCAAAGTTCCTTTCACCCACCAAATATTACACAAATAGAAGCCTCAACACCACAGTTAAAGAGGACCAGTAGAGAGAACCTCATGTTTGGAACACAAAAGGAAGAATAAAACCAAACCAAACCCAAACGGAAAAACCCCAGAAAGACGAGGAAAGGGCAAGGAAGGAAGAGGAAGGAGAGCAAACACAGCACACGTTACAGTGTCCAGGTACACAGGGAGCCCAGCACAAGGAAAGGGCTCGGCACACATTGAGTAACAGTCCTGGTGATATTTGGTCATATATTCATCAACTACTGACTCTGGAGCGGCTGTTATTGATTGAAGCAGTGACAAATCAAATGGAAAAGGAGGCCGTGGTAGCAAGGTAAGGAGCAGGCTTCAAGTTCTGCAAGCCTTTCGCACTCCACTGTCCAGCTGCCCAGAAACATTGAACCAGGTGGCCTGCTCCATCCAGGCAGGGTTAGAGGTCACCAGGTGAAGCTAACTTGGGTGCTGATCTCACATCAGCTATAAA